TAGAGCCAAGCTCTCTCTCGATGTTCGTCTGGATGATGCTGTTTGGGTTCCGCCTCACAACTCTTTCTTTTCGAATCTTATTCGAGCGAGCAGTGGCGGCTTTTCGTATCTTCTCTTTTCGTTCCTCTTTTCTTATATTTTCAGCCGAATACCTGAGGTCTAGGCCACGTGCTGCATTCTGGCTCTGGATCTTGAAATATTTCTTCTTTTCTAGGTCCCAGTAAAAGCCTGGGATCGGCTGGCCGTTCATCCTGGGTTTCTGGGAAAGAGGCGAGAACGGGGTCCTGGGCGACGGTGGAGTTCTCAGGTATACGCTTAAGCCCCCGAAAAAGTCTGAGATGTTAGCATGTAGTACATCTGCAGAAGTCGGAACGCGTACGGGGTGTAAACGTGATGATTGGCTGGAAAAGTGGCAATGGCAGTTTATTCACACGCGAGTCAGTATCCGGCAGTGCACTATCGATAAGGACCTCCGAGGCATGACGCCACTGCTCCATCGGATTCACATCACTTTGAAATGGGCCTCTACATGCCGCCACCTTCCTTCATTCTCCTGCACTCCTATACCATTTGGAATCCCCTTAGCTGCGCATGTTTCGCCTCTCTTCTACGCTGCGACCTACACGGAAAACCCTTTCGTCGACCAAGTCCACTCTGAGAAATTTGTCAAATACGCCCGCACGACTAAACCAGGTCATGGCGCATTTGGATATTCAGCAGACGGAGAATGGCTCTTCCAGCGAGCTCCATACGTTGCATTCAATCCCGAAGTCCAATGTATTCACTTCCAATCTTCCTGCGGATGCCGAATTTCCTACCCCCAAGGCTTCTCACGATGCGCCCCGCGAGAAGTTGGGTCCGCGCATGGTCAAAGGGGCCTTGTATACATATGTGCGCCCTGATCCCCAAGGAGAGGCAGAGTTATTAGCAGTCAGCCAACGTGCGCTTCATGACATTGGTCTGAAGGAAGAGGAGGCCAAGACGGACGATTTCAAAGACGTTGTGGCAGGTAAAAAGATCTTGACTTGGGACGAGAAGGATCCAGAAGCAGGAATATACCCGTGGGCCCAGTGCTATGGAGGCTACCAGTTTGGGCAGTGGGCTGGCCAGCTTGGTGACGGACGTGCTATATCACTGTTCGAAACTACTAATCCTACGATTGGCACACGCTACGAGATACAACTCAAAGGTGCTGGTCGGACACCATACTCGCGTTTCGCCGACGGGCGAGCTGTTCTTCGCTCTTCTATTCGAGAGTTTGTGGTCTCCGAGTATTTGAATGCTATTGGAATCCCAAGTACAAGGGCATTGTCCTTGACACTAAACAAAGGAAGCAAGATTATGCGTGAACGAATCGAGCCTGGTGCGATTGTTGCGCGATTTGCACAAAGTTGGATTCGCTTTGGAACCTTCGACCTGCAACGTATCCGCGGAGATCGCAAGACACTGCGAACGTTAGCAGACTATACCGCTGAGCACGTCTATGGCGGGTGGGATAGGCTGCCATCCAAGTTGCCTGCAGGCGATGCCAAAGACGTCCACGCGCAGACGCACGATGGAGTTGCAAAAGACATAGTTGAAGGTGAGGGCGAAACAGCAGAGAACCGCTACGTCCGTCTGTACCGCGCCATCCTCCGCCGTAACGCAGAAACTGTAGCCAAATGGCAGGCATACGGCTTCATGAACGGCGTCCTCAACACAGATAACACATCCATCCTCGGCCTCTCCATCGACTTTGGCCCCTTTGCCTTCCTCGACACATTCGACCCGACATACACACCCAACCACGACGACCACATGCTGCGCTACAGCTACCGCAACCAACCCACCATCATCTGGTGGAACCTGGTTCGCCTCGGTGAAGCCCTCGGAGAACTCTTCGGCGCAGGAAACTACGTCGACGACGAGACCTTTGTCGAAAAAGGCGTAACAGAAGAGCAAGCACCGGGTGTCGTCAAATGCGCCGAATCAGCAATCGACCGCGCAGGCGAAGAATATAAGGCTGTCTTCCTAGCAGAATACCGCCGTCTAATGACGCTGCGTCTCGGTCTCAAGACACAAAAGGAATCAGACTTTGATGTCCTCATGTCTGAACTGCTGGATTGTCTTGAAGCCTATGAGTTGGATTTCCATCATGCGTTTAGGAGACTAGGCGATATTCGACTTGCGGATGTGGACACGGAAGATAAGAGGATAGATACTGCGGGTCGGTTTTTCCGTAGCGACGCCGCGCCTAGACGCGAGAGCGAGGGTAGAGAGCGGATTGCGAAGTGGCTTGGTAAGTGGACGGAGCGTGTCAGGGAAGATTGGGGCGAGGGGAAGGATGAGGAGAGGAAGGTGGCGATGGATGCTGTTAATCCAAAGGTATGATCATTTTCCCTTTCTTTTCATTTCTCTAAGCTGGAATCGTCAAGCTAACGGATTACTGCAGTTTGTACCTCGCTCTTGGATCCTGGATGAACTCATTGAGCGGGTCGAGAAGAAGCACGAACGCGATATCTTGCCGCAGGTCATGAAGCTGGTCCTGAATCCCTTCCAGGAAGAATGGAAGTGGAATTCAGATGAAGAAGAGAGATATTGCGGAGAGGTGCCAAAGTACAGGGGAATGATGCAATGTAGTTGTAGTTCCTAGGCTCGAGACTTACTCGGCTCAAAGAGAGCCCCGATACTTCAATATCTATGGCAGAAGAAGAAAACAGTTTGAATTGAAAAAATGTCTAATCCACACCCCCAACCAAATACTCGCCCACCTCTAGATTCACTGTTCGCCCCAACGCCCTCGCATATTCCCACCCAAAATTCACTCTCCACCTCGCCCCGGGTTCCAACGCATCATTCGTGCCTGCACCCCCTGCACGAACAAGCAAGCGCATACTAGTCAGCGTAGCAATCTGCGTGTACAGATCCGCCACTTGGGGTACACTTCCATCGAGCAGTGCGCGGAAGATGGCTAGCAAGCGGTCTAGCGTGAATGGGCTGGGGGTCAAGAGGTGTCGACTGATCTTGCGGTGCTTGGAACCGGTGCGTTTGCCAATTACGCTGAAAGAAGCGGCGGTAGGGGCGCGGCGCTTGTTTTTGCGCTTGTCTGTGTGTTTCATAAAATAAGTTACATCTGTGCGGGGTGGGTTGTAGGAAGCGAGGTATGCGGCGATGAGGATATGGGTTGTGAAGTAAGGGAGGGTGTGAGCAGTCATGGTTGCGAGTTTCCTTTTGCTGGGTGTGGCTGGGGTTACGGCGTCGTTGGTGACAGGGTCGGTGGTACTGGGGCCGGCAACGATGCGGTCGAGGACTGAATCTTCGAGTTGGAAGAGGTGGCGGCGGTTTACCATTAAGCGGGAAAAGTCGCGCGTGCCGAATTGGCCTGATAGTATGGGCTCGACAAAGGGCCGCCATAGGCGCATGGCGCAGCTTTTGAAGCTGACCAAGTCTCGGCCAGTGTGTTTGGCGAGCGAGTCGTATATGGCTTGTAGGAAGCGGCCCCAGAGCCATGCATCGTCCTCAACAGCAAGATCTGGAGTATAGTCGGGACACTGCTCGAGAGATGGTGGGTTGACGAAAATTTTTGGCGGGCTTGCACCTAGAATGGCGATAAGGTCGGTCCGTGAGTAGGTTGGGAAATGGAGGAACAAGGTCGAGGAAGAGTGGAGGACGGAAGGCGTAAGTGGTAGGGTTGTTGAGAGGATGATGGAGAGATTAGGTATCTTTGAGGATTCTTAGTAGAACATCTTTCAGATTGATATAGCCAGGGACATACCGATTCTCCTAATCGTCCCAGCGCAGCGATCAATGTTCCTCCCCCTTCGCGCAACTTGTCCATGGCATCCAGCACCAGGACAAACTTCCCTCTTCCCTCCAATAGTTTTCCTGTGTTCACACATAGCGCACTTAGGTTCTCTGTTCGCGCATATGCTCTCCTATCCGTCTTCTCGTCGTGAAACTCGTCGAGAGCATCGAGAGTAGATGCGACGATGCGCTCAACAAGATGGCGCGTGGTGATGCATTCGCGGACGTTGATGATGGCATGGCATAAGCGCGACAGGTGAAAAAAGGAGCGTAGGATGGATGATTTGCCCGTTGCTGTCAGGCCGTGAACGTTGAGCAAGGGCGGAGATGGGAGATAGGTCTGTTATTGTTTATCAACACAATGAATGTATCCTGAAGGCTAAAAGTGCATCCTACACTATAGAGAGCGGCGAGATACTGTATTTGGTGGTGGCGACATTGGAACTCAGCATCCAGCTGCGCAATGATTTCGTCGGGCAACATTGTCGCGATGAGTGGTTGTTGAAGCCAAAGTGCCAGGGTCAGACTGGATGCTGCTGTCGCGCTACATCGACGCTAAACGCGACTGCACGTGCACCGCGGATGGGATAGTTACGACGCCAAGCCTCTTCCATCTTCCTTCTTTGTATTTATCCATACCATATACATGATTTTCCTCACCGGGTCATGTATGCAGTCATTGGACATGACGGCATGTGGCTTACCTATCCATGAGCAGCACTGCCGACTACCTTCAGCCGCGGGGGTGCAACCTCAACCTGATTTCCTTCCTTGAATCTGGCCCTCATCTTCTACCTTCGTAGCATATCTATCAGCACATCTCTAAGCATACCTATTAGTATTTCGTGGGTTTTTAGATTCGTATGGATACAACTGCCAGCCTCATCGCAATTGCGACACTCTGCGAGAAACTCATCAAGTACATCAACGCCACCCAGGCGGCTAAGGACGACAGGCAACGCCTTCGCTCGCAGATACGGGCGTGCAGCTACATCATCCTCCAACTCAAAGATGAAGCTGAGGATTCTGACAACTCCGAGGAAAGCGAGGAATGGGTCCAGTCAATGCAATTACTGTTCAGTCCACTCCATCGCCTCCATGAGGCTCTGAGCGTGGCAGCTCAGGCTCTTTCCCCTCGGGACAGCACCATAGAGAAACTGAAATGGCCTTTCAAGGAACAAGATGTACGGAAACTCGTTAACGCTGTAAGATGTGAGATGGACCTGTTGTCCTTGGCTCTGGATAGAAATTCAACAAGGCTGCTGCAAAAGATCAATATTCACGCCAAACACAACGAGCAGCTACTCGTGGAATTGAAAACCGCGCTTGGTGTCCGAGATGTGCATCATCAATTTGCTCTTGGAAATGTCGCAGAAAAGCTTGGGAGACTGGAGATAGGTCAAGATGACGTCCGGGGACAGGTTCAGCAGCTGCACGAGCGCCACGACTTGGAGGAAGCCATACAGAAGCGTGAGCTCATCCTTGAATGGCTAACCCGTATTGATTATGAGTCTCAACAACGCGACGCTATTCGTTTACGACAAGCTGGAACTGGCCAATGGCTGTTAGATTCACAACAGTATCAAGACTGGCTTGCTGCAAAGGACAATACTTTATTCTGTCCAGGAATACCGGGTGCAGGAAAGACGGTCCTGGCTTCGATCATCAACGAGGATCTAAGGCACCGATTCCATGCTGACTCCCAAATCGGCCTTGCTCATCTATTCTTTGACTACCGGCGCCAGGATCAGCAATCCTTAGAGGTTCTTCTTTCTGGTCTGCTGAAACAGCTTGTTTCACAACACCTACCGTTGCCTAAACAAGTGGAAGATTGCTTTACAATTCATCAACAGGAATACTCAGGTCGGGCACGGGCAATCATGTTAACCCTGGAAGCAGTGATAGCGAGTTTTTCAAGGGTTTTCATTGTACTAGATGCCGTCGATGAATGCCTGGCCCCCGCACAACATTGTACAGATTTGTTATGTGCGATTCAGGAGTTGCAGAAAAGGCATAAGCTCCAACTCCTCGCCACATCTCGCCTCATTCCGGAGGTCACTGAACGATTTACGGCGGCTTCCGTTTTGCAGATCCAAGCAAAATCTCAAGATGTACGAAAATATTTAACTGAACAAATACATCGTCTCCCAGGTTTCGTACGAAAAGATGTGCAACTGCAAAACGAAGTGGTCTCCAGTATCGTTGAAGCTGTTCAAGGAATGTAGGTTAGCCCTTGCGCATTTCAGAAAATATAATAACAGTGTAGGTTCCTTCTTGCTAAGCTTCATCTGAACTCTATGGTTGGCAAGAGGTCTAAGAAAGCACTGCGGACTTCTCTCCATGGCCTTGCAACTGGTTCACAGGCTTACGATGCCGCATACGAGGATGCAATGCTCAGGATTGAAGGGCAACTCGCTGATCAAAAGGAGTTAGCGAAGGAAGCATTGGCCTTTCTCACCTGCACCAAGCACCGCTTTTCAAAGCTAGATTTGGAAATGGCACTCGGTGCAGAGATTGGAAACCCAAATATCGATCCTGACAACTTCCCAGATATTTATGATATTGTAACGGCGTGCGCTGGACTTGTCACAGTCAATGACGAAAGTGGCACTGTCGGGTTAGCCCATTACACCACACAGGAATACCTTGAACGAACACAACAACACTGGTTTCCAGACGCACAAGCCCTCATTACAGACTCATGTCTCTCCTACCTCTCCTTTCTCGCATCTGGAGATTGCCGGACCATTGGCTTGGATGTAATGTGGCAAAGTCGTGGTTGGTGTGTATACAGTGCGAAAAATTGGGGTTATCATGCTCGTCAAGTCCCCGCTAGCCATGAATTGATCATGGAAGTCCTCAATCAGGCAACAGATTTAAGGCCCACTCTTAGCTATATGTATGACGACCTCTCATGCTATAGGTTTTTGGGGCCGGGTGTTGAAATAGACAAGTCGCTACCGGATGGTTTGCATCTGGCAGCCTATTTTGGGCTTGAGGCCGCCTTTGTTGCGTTGCTAAAGCGCACACCAGATCAGTCTTCGGAGTTTGGTGGAAGAGATCCATCGCTAATAGCTGCATTTGCCATTGCAACTTACAGTGGTCACGAGGCAATTGTTAGACAGCTGCTACTCCATGGCGTCTTGATCGAATCTTCAATCATGTTGCGGCACCGCAATGGCCGGACTACTGGCATGCATCTCGCTGCAATGAAAGGACATGCCATCCTTCTCAAGTTGTTCCTAGAGCATGATGTCGATGTCAATTTGTGCAGTTCCGATGGCAGGACTGCTTTGCACTGTGCAGTCGCTTGCGGGAGTGTCCCAGCTACGATGGTCTTGCTTGAGGCGCAAGCTAACGTGAACATCTGTGACGAACGCGGCTGGACTTCATTGCATGAGGCAGCGGCAAACAGTAATGGAAACCTTGAGATCTTTCAGCAGTTGATCGAGCATGGGGGTGCAATTGATCTGCGTGACCATGATGGAGGTATGGCTTTACATTATGCAGTTATGGCGGGCAATATTCAATTTTTCAGCATGTTAGTCAAGACGCAAGCGGATATGAATGTCGGTGACTACCTGGGAATGACTCCATTACACCATGCGGCAGCAAAAGATGACCCCGCCATCCTGAAACAGCTTCTAGATCTTGGCGCATCTGTTGAAATAGTTACCAATGATGGAGTCACACCGCTGATGGAGGCTTGCTCGCGGCAACCACACTTTCAGGAAAAATTGGAAATCCTTCTCGCAGCCGGAGCAGATCCACACGCGCTAGATTGTGAGGATCAATCTGTACTGGTGTGGGCTATGCATCTTGGACCGAAACCGGATATTTTGCGTTTCTTACTCAACAAAGGAGCAGATCCTCAATTGGGCGCGTCGCCTTTGTCATATGCTATGTTTCGATGTGCCGAAACCATGGCTCGGGCTTGTGAGGAGGAGGACGAGGAGAAGAAAAAGGAGTGGCTTATTTGGCAGCAGGATTGGGAGGCATGTGTTCAGATACTCAAAGACTTTGGCGCAGAATGAAGATCGTTGTGGATGCGAGATTATATTGAAGTTTTTCTTTCATTGTATTTTCACTTTTTGCTATCCTGCCGTTTCCTATTTTCTTTTATCTGGCTATATATATATATATATGCGAAGCTAGTCGACTATTAGAATTCATGCTCGAAATACTAGTTGTTATTTCAACACCAATTATCAGAAGAAAAAAAAATCACTTTTCACATAACACCCTCTCAACTCCAAGGAGACCTTGCAAGTGTACATGGTTTTCGTCGAGCTGGGAAGGACTCGATCGTGTCCATCTTTTCAAGAAAAGAAAATTCCAAATATCACGTAGAGCCGGGGTGCACATGCCTATGTGACACACTAATTCTAACTCGTAGTACTGAATGATGTGAAGTACAAGGTGGCTTGGTAAATAGCAGCGTTTATTGTGAAAGCAAGACACATGGTTCCATAGCTTCAATAAATCTATGTATATAACCACCACATCATCCATCTCAAGATGCTACAATAATATCTCCCTCACACCCCCTTCCCGTCCTTCCCGTCCTCCCTCTCAACCTCAATCTCAACACTCGCCTCCACCCTCTCCGTCATAAGATGCTTAACCCCCTTCATAGCCACCACCGCAACCGTCGCCAGCGCCACAAAAGGCACTATACTCCAAAACGCCAACCTATAAGCACGCGCATAAGACCAGTGACTCGCATTCCACGCCGCCGCAACAATCGCTTCGTTAGCACCAGGCACAACACCGGCCTTAAACGACGACGCGGATTTGCCCTTCATAGCAGCCAGAAGCGCGGGTACGGAAGAAGCGGGTAAGCCGGCGGCTGTGGCCGCAGATCCAACGTCGCGGGCGAGATGCGAGGCTACATGAGAGTTCACAATCGCGTAAATGACAGCGGTACCAAAAGAGCCGCCGATGGCACGAGCAGAGAAGGCGAGACCCGTTGCTGTGGAGAGGAAGGCGTGGGGCGCGGTGTACTGGATACATGCGACGAGGAGGGTTAAGGGGCCCGCGCAGCCGATGCCGGTGAGGGCTGTGAAGACGATTTGGAGGGTGCCCCATGTGGGTTTTATAAAGGCGAAGCAGATGGATGCTATCAGCATTATTGTGAAGGTTACTGCTAAGGGTGTTTCTGAAGGTTTCGTTTAGTTTGGAGGAGGATTGGGGGGGTTAGGGGAGGGGGGGTACGGACTTAGGTCTTTGAATTTGGTGGCCCACCATGTTACTGCTAGGGAAGTGAAGATGGAAGCGACTTTGTAGGATAATTGGCGAATTGCGATGTTCCAGGAGTTGTCTTCGAAACCGAGGTTGAGAATGACTTGTGGGGTTACGGCGTTGATGGCGGAATAGTAAATCCAGCCTTCGATTGTGAAGGCGAAGGTTGAGAGCCAAAAGTTGGGGCCTGTGGAGAAGAAGACGTGGGCGACGATGCCGTCTGATCTTCCTTTCCATTCTGGGATATGTTAATGATGTCTCATTGAGGTTGCTGGGAGACTGTACCGTAGAGACAAAAGGCTATGAAGAGAACGATTCCACATGTCAAGTTTGCACATACGTGCGGATCGCTCCATCGATATGCGCCACCTGCCCAGTTGAGAGCAAGGAGCATCAGAGTGGCAGCGGCAACTAGCAAAAGGGAGCCGATAGGATCGCAAGCCCATGCCCATTCCTTGAAGCGCATTCGTGGGTAATCTGTGCGTTTCTTGGGCCAATAGAATGCGAAAAGACCTAGTGATGTGATGCCATGGAGGGCGACTTGGATCCAGAAGATGTATCGCCAGCCTGAAGCACTGAGGTTTGTGACGGCTCCCGCTGCTAAACTACCAACACTACAAGTTCATCAGTGACAATGGCCGTTGCGATTAGATCACGAAGCATAACATACGTGCCTCCCATTACACCTGCAACACCAGCAAGTCCATTTGCTAAAGCGCGGTACTTCAAAGGAAGGATTTCAGAAGGAATGGATTGGACGATGGATATTGTGGCAAGCGTGGTGCCAATGAGGATACCACCACCAATCAACATGGACATGCTGGTAGCTTTGGCACAAATGATGGCACCAACACATGCTATCAGAGGTGGTATAGTGGCGAATAATTTGCGGTCGAGAACGTCTGAAAGACGGCCAACCGGGGGTGAAAGGACTGATTGCATAAGGAGCGGGCCCTTATTTCAATTAATTGTTTACTCAGTAACATTGGCATTACGAGGCACACACCTGAATGATCCAGCTAGCAATTGCAGGTTCTCCCAACTCGCGAATGATAAAGGACAGAACAGAGCCTGCAGCTACGACGACAAAGACCTGAGACATGACCCTGGGTTGAATGTAAGACTACTTTCCGGCAGATTGAGAGTATGCAACGTACGCAAAGCAACAGCAGAAAACAACCATCCATGATCGCCAAGAGAGGTTGACATGCTTGACGTCCTCATTTGCTTCTTGGTCAATGGGCACGATGTGCGCAGTGCGGCTATGGGCAACCTCGACATGCGTAGTTTCTGTTTTCTCATCCATGGCTGCTCACTTGGAATTGCAGCACGATACGATGAGGAGGGATAAGAAGAGGAAAGATGATTCCACGTGGTCATGGAGTGGTCGCGGATGTAGTGCAGCAGGACTAGACTCTCTACGGACATGCCTTAGGCAGCCTGTCATGTGAGCGAGTGCTACGGGCATTTTCCCCCACAGCCTTGCATATCGGCAAACGACAACGGCTAGGGTTACAGAACGGTTGCTAGTCGTCTGGGTGCCATTTGCCGCATTTTGGGGAACACTGCATGCGGGGGTCCGTATTGGGGGAAGATTGGCACCTCCTTGCTGTAATGGTAAGTGCGGGGAAGAATGCTTTGGATCCGGGCTCTTGCATTAGTCTCCTTATCCTCTTTTTTCGAGCTGAGCTTTCCTTCCAATGTACTGAACATAGTGTGATGGTGATGTACTCCTGCTCTTCCATGACGGGTGGTGAGGAGCGAACGGGTGGGTGTTGGGTGAATGGGGAAAGGCCAAGGCCGGGGGACAGACAGCGCCGCCCCGCTGGACCCTGAGATATTGGGGTGGTTTGCTTTCAACTTTTTTTCCTTTGTCACTCTCTTCCGTCAACCCAAATTTAATCCACACAATCTGCAAATATTCAACCGCTCGGCTCAGCCCATAGCACCACTCTCGCCCGCCTGAGCATAGTTCCACCAACCAGGCCGTGTTATGAGCACCCAAAGCGCACTCGCGGGCCGTCTGGTCCCGCTGCGGACCAAGGACGAGGTGCGCGCCAGCTTGGAGACACAACCAGTCTATGTAGTCGAGGTGCCAGCCAAGTTTGCCAATGCCATCAAGGAGTGAGAAACTCACTCTCTGAGCATGTGCCCGACTCGTCTACTAACTTTGCAGTGCCGTCCAAGCTGCTCTGCCCGACTTCAGAACGTCCGAGATCTCGCATTTGCGCCGCGTCGTGCAGTTCAAGTATCTGCCGCCACATCTGCAAAAGGATTTCTATCCGCCGACAAGGCTCCCGAGAGGTGACGAAGATGATCCTGCCTTAGCATTTTTATCTTCCTCTCCTGCATCCTCTCCTGCACAATCAGGCAGTGCCCAGACTGCTGATGAAGCTCTTACTGAACATTTTGATTTAGTTCGTTACTTTCTGCTGTGTCCCACGCGCTATCTCAGCCGTGCAGACCTCGTAGCCATTATACGCACATGTCCACCCTATGACGCGAAGACTACCCTCCCGCGCATCTTCCATGTGACGGTGCCAGCCCTGGCGCCCATCTCCGCAGACCAGGCCGCGCAGTGGAGCAACACATACTGGCCCATTTCGTACAAGAACACCAACCCCTATGGCCCTCATCCAAGCCTCGTGCAACGAAACCAGGACGAAATCCAGCCCGGCGCGGGAACTTATCTTGGCTTGGCGCGGGCTGTTGGCGCGCAGATATCTGACGGATGTCTAGGTGAAGAAATCGGCGTTGTCGTTGTCGACCACACCAAGACGAAGCCCGAGATCATTGTTGTCGCTGGTGACTGCCGTTGGAGATCCTTCACTGGTACAGCCGAACCCCACACTGGGACTGGCAATGTCATGGCGCACTCTGTTCTGCGTGCCATCGCCATGGTTGCAAAGAAGCGACTCCGCGCTGCTAGCACTGATCCCGTATACCTGGACCGCCCACTCTTCTGCGACAGCCCCCTCACTTCAGTCGAGCAAGAATATTTCGACACCAACAACATCCATTCCAGCGGCTACTTGTGTGTCGACCTAGACATTTACCTGACTCACGAGCCCTGCGTCATGTGCTCAATGGCCATTCTACACTCGAGGTTCAGGCGATGCATTTTCGCCAAACGTATGCCACACACCGGAGGGATGACAGCGGATAGCCCGGACAACTCATCGACAGCTCCCACCGGTCTGAAGAACGGCCTGTTTTGGCGACCAAATGAGCTCAACTGGAAGTTCCTAGCTTGGGAGTTCAAGGAAGATGGGGAGCCAGCCCATGGTGCAACGGGCCTAAATGATACCCTGCATGCTTAGATTCGGATGCTCGTCTAGGACCCTATTGGATAATTAGCATTGTCATGGCGCATTGAGTTAGTGTTCTTTTTGCCCGGTGGCTACTCAAATACGGTTTAGACAAAATATGGAATCAGGGACGGACTACTTGAACATTGTAATTAGTTGGAATGAGTTCCAAGCCTCAGAACCATAGGGATCCAACATCCATATGTATGAATCCTTGTCGAGCTACCGGTAACCCCGATGAGTCGAGCCGCCTCGAAGGATCGTGCCTGGCTTAACTTTATAAAGACTAGCTAGCTGTAGGCTTATCTAAGCGTCTTTGGCCCCCAAGAATGACACGATTCAATAGTTATCACAAGACAAACTACTATTCTGATCGAAGGGACTGAGTCGTAGCCAGCACCATGTATCTCCGTCCAGCCCAGCCTTCGGATGAGCCAGCCATAGTCTCGATATGCGCACGCGCCTTTTACAACGAGGACCTGTTTGGTAGAGTCATGCACCCCCATAGAGACCAGTACCCCGAAGACTTGGAAATCTACTGGCGAGGGGTCGTCCGCCGCGACTGGGCATCGCCGCGCAACAGGGTCTTCGTCGTCGTGTGTCCCAAAAATCCCGAACAAAATCAACATGACAAAGAAGAAGATGAAGTAGTCGGCATGGCCATCTGGCAGCGTCAAGGCAACGACGCGACCGCTCAAAAAATAATCCAAGAACACACCGACCCAACCCCTCTCTTCCAACACATCCCCGCCCGCGAAAACCGCGCCGCAGACCCCACCAAAAAGAACCACCTTGCCGACTCTGCAAAATACACTGAACACTACTGGTCAGCACCCCATTCAGAGAACTGGTACCTCTCCCTCTGCGCCGTGGACCCCGCGCACGCAGGCCACGGATACGGGCGGGTGCTCGTGCAGTGGGGGCTTGATCGTGCGCGCCAAGAAGGCGTCGATGCGAGCGTTATTTCGAGCGAGACGTCGCCAGCGTTTTATCTGCGGTGCGGGTTCGATGAGGTGGTGGGGAATGCACATGAGGGGGAGGGGAATCCACTGCAGGTGGATGCGGTTAAAGGGGGGGATATCTTGTTCATGTGGGGAGGAGGGAAGGGGAAGGAGTGATGTGGATGGGACGGTTTTGTGAAAGTTGCCGTTTGGGATTTGATAGCGGTTTTTTTTGTGGGTTTATGATGGTAGAAGTAGGTTTATTTCTTGTGTAATACGGGAGACAGAAATAGAGAGGGGTGTTGTAAGCAATAGAGCGACAGTAAGCGGCGGCTGAATCTGACCTGGTAGTGCGCTTACGTTCTGCATTCGTCGTGTGATGGCGTAAAGGGAAAGAACAACAAACACCGGTACGACGGTTCGCAATATGAAATTTCCTTCTTGCTCTTCGTTATGGCAAGTTACCAGATGCGCTTTCTGAATAGAGAAATATGTGATGTAAAACGCCTTTGCTGAATCCACCATAAGGGACTGAACCGTCTATATAAACTCGATCAAAGAGACCATCAAAAAAAACATCAAATAACACATAAACATCATCTCCTCACTTTCAATCTTCCACCACCAAAAAAAATCCCCCAATCCAGTCTTCCACCATGTACTTCTCCACTATCGTCCTCTCCACCCTCCTCGCCACCCTCTCCTCGGCAACCATCATCCTCGGCCACGCTGACTACGAAAACGACGGCCACAAAGACACGGCCGTCTGGATCCAGGGCCAAGACCCCTGCGCCTATACCTACATGGGCCATGGTAGCCCCTGTAGCTTCAACGGCGGCAACTTTGTCGCCTCAAACACGTTCCACTACCGCATCGTCAACTGCAACAATGGCCAGCCTTTTACGCTACAGAACGAAAATGGGTCCAAGAATGCTGAGGCCGTCTTCCGGCCCATTGATGATTTGGTGCACTGCCCAGGCGGATATACTATGGGCCAGACTTGGGTTTTCTAAATGACAGGCTAAGGGGTGGAGAAATGAGAAGGAGGGCGGGGGGTGATAGAGGATACTGACTTAGTCACTCACTTTTGTTTGATCTGGAATTTCCGGGCAGTAGTTTGGAAATGAGAGAAGAGGGGGGGTTACGTAGTCGATTTTTGAACGCTCGTTTTTAGTTTTGACTCTTTTTGGAGGAAGTTTTGTTTCGGCGGTGTAGATAGATGAAAAGGAAGGCTTGAATTCAAGGTTTTCGACAATGCCTGCTTCGTTATTGCTGAGGTGCCTTTTTGTGTGCTTGGAAATGAGTGAGTTTGTGTTTGTGTGACGCGGTGATGTGGTGAAGGGTGGTTAAGACGGCAGTAGTAAAATGGTAGAGTTGTGAGCAGTAGCTAGGCTGAGTATAGGATATCAGTCAATGAGCTATACCTTATCAGTAGTTCACGTGTCAGTGTCATAACAAGGTATGCTGAATCTTGGTCTATTTGTCTATATTACCATTAATACCTTGTGATCTTTACTTTGGCAAGCGAAGTTTGCCAGGAACGTATGCTCCCGCATCGATGTGAGCAGGCTCGTTTTTCACCGTCCACTCGACGTCTTTTCTGATGAACAACTGTTCTGTGCTTCTTTGACTGGAGCGCCGTTCCAGATCTATGCTCTTGGTACCCGTGATTGCGTCTTCCTGTACTATTGATAACCGTTCCTCGGCTCGTACTATGCCCTCCCTTTCGTGCCTCGACTCTGGAGATATCGAGCCCCCGGTTCGGGTCGTCATCAATACTGACATATCATATACTTCGTGCCGTGCTGACTGCGACGCACTGTGGCAGATTGTGTAGTTGTGGCCATACTTCCCCGATGACTTGGAACTGTAGCCAAACCCTGGTTTGACACCGCTTCCCGTATCGAAGCTCTGAATGAAGGATTTTAGACAGGGCATGGTACTGGTGAGAAGCGAGGCGCAGACTTGACATTGTTGGAGCTCCAATGCGCCTACGCGCTCTACACCAGGATTCGCGCTATGCAGTGCCCTACGCCAAGATTGGAAGAAGAGGCTTGTGAGTAGAAGCAGAGGTAGGCGTAGCCCGAAGATGCCGAGTACTTGTAGCTTAAACGATATGGACATTTGAAGGTTGCGAACGAGGTAGGTAGGGGTTAGGGCGAGGATAAAGTCAGTTAGGGCGTCGGTGGCAGTGACGAACAGATAGCGATTTTCGATTCCATCGCATATCTGGGAAGAGGTTCGTGGCGATAGAGTGTCAGTGGGACAGCCGATTGAGACGAGGAACGCAGAGGCAATGGTCCAGACGGCGATGACGCCAGTGATGAAGACGCAGGTCTTCCAAGCATTTCGCATTTCTCTCGTGAAGAGGCGCTGGACGAGGAGGATGGTGGAGAGCTTGGAGAAGCCGAGACAAATGTAGACGACTACTTGGTTGCTGGAATATGCCTATTCAAACTGGATTAGACATAGCTTCGATGTGTTATGCAAGTCAATAGAGAGTTTACCCAGGCCATGCGCGCATACTGCTCATCGGTCAAGGTCCCAAAGGACTTTGCCAGTCCTGCCGACAACGATAAGAGTAGCAGTGAAAATTGAACCAAGTTCGCCACCTAACATTCGCGTCAGTTTCACACAAGGCTTGAACGCAAAAAAAGTAAGCTCACCTGTGCAAGCAGCATAGCCGCATCATCCAATCCCAAGACGCGCCATTTGATAAATATGCGCGCCAGAAACGTAAGGCTGGTGTATGTGAATGACAGAAACGTGACAATGTACAGCACCCCGCTTTGATCGTCGTCTGTAATGTCAGCCCACCGATAACTGCGATCTACAGGTGGAACTTCTACCGCTGCCATTGTGAAAAGAAAGGGTGGAATGCGGGAAGCCCCCGCTGATCAAGTTCTTCAAAATCACAGAGTGACCACGTGTGTAGAAGAAAGGGGGTACCGGCGACACATGAGTACTATCTTCTTGTCACACAAAAATCCGTCACACAGCGCTCTGATCCTTCAGTCCGCTTTTGCGTCACAGTTACCAGCCTCACACCATGGATGTTGCTGCGGCAGTAGCCAAAATGTACATGGGGACATGTGCGGTAGTTGATCGCCAGAATTCAGCCGGCACGCAATATATCTCGTCCTATCATGCCGCAGTCACGGCAAATTCTTCGGGACTTTGCCCTGATGAATCTTTCTATGACTGTGTCTTTCCTCACGTTCTGGTGGTGCGCCGCGCAAGGCTCGGATCCCGCTGCTCTATCGACACACAGACGGGACATGGGTTCGTGGGAGGGGAGGACAGACGTTGCATCGCTTGCATCAAGGAACAAGAGTGGCTCTAACCGCTCGCCCCGACCCGCACCCCTGCCGAACCCTTTACTTAACAGCATCCATGCGCCATTCAGTAAGAAGTGGTACAACACGCTAGATCCTGCGGAATCCTCTTTGCTCGGTCCTTTGCACCTTCACGGCAATCCACGACCGGTTGGATTTGCGGCACGACGGGCGACTTGGGACAAACGGGCGAATCAGAACTTGCACCTGCACAATGGCCTGGCGACCCGAGGGAGAACTTGGTCCACTCGTTTATAGATTTGCTGTGCATTGATCGTCCGTTGTTGCATCCCCGGCGTGTGCAGCAGTCCAACGCGACCTCGACCCTTCGCTAACGCGGCTCGAACATGGTGGTTTGACATGTCGTCCTGGTAGAACGACCTACCTAAACGCGGAAGGGCCGAAAGACTAAGCGCATGTATGGGAAATAGCCGGTCATAAATGGGGTATTATGTGCGTTTGCAACAGAGACATGGGAAAGGCGGTTTTGACGCAATTTTTTAATCATACGATTAATATCTCTTCATCGCTGCTAAGCGTTTGGCGAGATTGTTATTCCTTGGGAGGAGATTTTATTCCACTTTTAGCCACGCCACAGCCGGTACGCCTTACCATCCTGCACAGTGTTTATTCTTTGAATCTTGACATTCGTTTCTTTTTGCACTCATTTCTGTTGGTCAATCATGTCGGAAACAAAGGCTGCTGAGGCGGTAGTCTCGTCCCCTCCCGACAGCGAACTCCAGCACGATGGTGTTATTTCGGAGAAGAAGGGTACTGTTGGCGACCAGAAGGACATGTACCGCATGGGAAAGCAGCAGGAACTGCGACGAAACTTTCGCTTCGTTTCCATCTTCGGATACTCCATGGTGCTCATGGCAACATGGGAAACAGTATTGACGTACGTAGGGGACTCGTACAATTGGTTTTGCATGGTCTGACATCTTCTAGTACTTTGATCATCCCCCTGACCAATGGTGGCACCGGTGGCGCCATCGTCATGTTCCTCGTCACGGCAGTATGCATGGGATTTGTGATTGTGTCCATGGCCGAGATGGCTTCAATGTAAGTGATATGTTCGTTTACTGGTTCTTGCGCAGGCAATGCAAGCACATTGTTGCGCAGTCCCTGTGTACATCTGGTTCTACAAAAAGGAAGGCGACAGTGCATGAGAATACGCCACTGAGGTTACTATGATAGTCACTGACATGCGCAAAGGGCACCCACCTCTGGCGGTCAGTACCACTGGGTCTCGGAATTCGCTCCACGAAAACACCAAAAATTCCTCAGCTATGTTGTCGGCTGGCTCTGTGTATTGGGTTGGCAAACAGGTATCGCATCCATTGCTTACCTAGCAGGTGGCCAGATCCAAGGCCTTGTGATCCTCAACAACCCCGACTACATTCCCGAAAGATGGCATGGCACTTTACTCGTAATGGCCGTTGCCACATTCTCCATCATCTTCAACACCCTGCTAGCCCGCAAGCTTCCCCTCGTCGAAGGCATCGTCTTAGTCCTCCACATCTTCGGTTTTTTCGCCGTCTTTATCACAATGTGGGTGTTGGGACCACGAAGCTCGGCCAAAGAGGTATTCGGAGGCTTCCAGGATAACGCGGGATGGGGAAATGTAGGACTATCCGTGCTGGTTGGTCAATTGACACCAATCTTCGCCCTGTTGGGTGCAGATGCAGCGACGCACATGTCCGAGGAGTTGAAAGACGCTTCCTACACGCTGCCTCGTGCCATGATTGCAACAGCAGTTGTAAACAGCATCCTTGGTTTCCTCATGCTCGTCACCTTTTGCTTCTGCCTCGGCGACGTGAGCACAGTTATCAGCACCCCAACCGGCCAACCCCATATCCAGGTTCTGTACAACGCAACCAAATCAGTCTCAGGCGCTACCGTCCTCGCATCCATTACCACCATCATGGCCGTCTTCGGCTGCGTCAACAATGTCGCTACGTGCTCGCGCCAGCTCTTCGCCTTTGCCCGCGACAACGGTGTTCCCTTTAGCGCTTTCTTCTCCCACGTCCAGCCCGGATGGGATATTCCTCTCAACAGTGTCCTCATGTCCTTTCTCATCGCTTGTCTGCTTTCCCTCATCAACATTGGCAGCTCCGTTGCCTTCAACTCCATCGCTTCGCTCGGCACATGCGCGCTGCTATCATCCTACATCATCAGCATTTCGTGCATGTTTATCAAGAGGTGGAACAACGAGCCCTTGATTCCGTGCAAATTCTCTCTCGGACGCGCTGGTATCTGGGTGAACGGCATCTCTATCGTGTATCTGTGTATCGCGCTTGTATTTGTCTTCTTCCCTACTTTCCCCCACCCAACCGCTGCGCTCATGAACTGGAACATCTTGATCTACGGCGTCGTTGTCATCTTTTCGTTCATTTACTTTGCTGTCAAGGGGCGCAGGGTATATGTTGGGCCTGTTGAGTATCTCAACAAGGATTTGTAGATGGTACATTGGGAAAATTGATAGTAATCATTGGGTCGGGTGTGTCATAAAAGTTGAATGATCGGAAACGCTAATTTAAATTTCCATATAATCTGCCATATACTAGAGCTTAGAAGTGTGAACACATTAGTATATTATTCAAGATGAGCTCAGCTCTAGCATGACTGAATTTGTTCCCTGTAGCGGTGCTACATTCAACATCCTCTGTTGCTGTTGATAGGGAACGGAGCTATCTTCACGATTCGTGGTAGAAATTGTAATAATTAGTTGCTTAAATACTGCCTCGCAGCGTGCAATTTACTTCTTTTCTATACTGTTCCAGTTTAACGTCAATGACGATGGCCCCATTGCAGGACAAAACTAGCAACCTTACCGAACATAATTCTAATATCTTTTACTACGCGGTGTGGTTTGCAAGAGCGGTATGTCGCTGGATACTACTATTGGCAATGTGTGTTCATCTGGATGCTAAATAGCGCTTACCTACGTAGCAATGCCCAGTGCCCTCCGCCCCGGTGTGGCCGGTGAGCGGTTTGGGGTGCACTGCCTCTTCAGCCTGCCTCTTCAGCCTACCTCTACCTCCAAGCTAACCTGTCGCGACTACATCATCAACTGCTAAACAAAACCATAAGACAGTGTTCAGTCGTTACTAACTCCATATTAGTCAGAGAGTAAAAGCGCCCTCAGGCATCACCATGGAAGTTGCCGCTGCGATGGTCAGTTTCGTCGGCCTAGTAGGCACTGTTGCGCAAGGCCAGAAGTTCCTGTATGACTTCACGACCAACATGAAGGACTGCCCGAAGGATATTCACGAGATGAAGACCGACATTGAATTAGTAGAAGCCTTGATCACGCAAGTAGTTCAACAATCTAACGAGCGTGATGGGCGACTTCGAGAAAGCGCAGTATTGGCACGCGCAATTGGCCACGCTCAGGAAAGCGTCAAAGATCTCAAGAAGGAGCTGGCTATGTATCCTTCGAATGGAAAACATAGGCGATTCAGGTTTGCGACCAAACTCAGTCAAACAAAAAAGCTTAGGGCAAGCTTGGATAGGAGTAAGACCATCATGTTGGATTTGAAGACTCAGCTGCACAGGTAGTCTATTCGGAAACACTCTTGACGATCACTGACACCAAATAGCGACCTATTATATGAGATCCGTGACATGAATCAAGAGGTTCTCAGATCAATAGAAAACACAAGCGGAAATCTAGAAACACATGATAGAAACTCTCACAAGGTCACGCAAAAATCTATGGTCCAAGAAGAAACCACAGATAATTCTAGAGGCAAAGCAGAGGCTTTGGTTCCGCCAGCAAGCGACACTTCATCTGAAGGTCTGACAAATGTTGAAATTGCCGCGAAGAATCTCGAGCACACCACGGGCTTGTTGATGGAAACAGGGATCTCATCTTCACCAGCTTTGTTACCATCAACGCCTGCATTGTCACGCGAAGTCAGCGATATCTCTGTTATAAGCTCGTCCCAGGAAACGACAGCCAGCAGCATCTCGAGCTCGCAAAGTATTCCACCGTCAGTATCCCAGGATGCTCAAAAAGCGAACATCGCCTCAAAACACCCCCTTCTACAGTTCAAGGACAATCAGGTAAGACCAAGTACGCATATGCTTCTGCCCATCTGACGTCTCTGTGCAGTTCCAATTCTTGGTTGCGATCATCTTCACCCAGCGCGCCACTAAACAAAAAAATCTCGCTTGTCAACGTGCCTCAGAATGTCTGACAGCATATCCAACGCCAGAAGCACTTTCGAAAGCATCATTTGCAGCTCTCAGTCAATACTTCATCGAACTTGGCTTGTATAATACCAAGCCACCCCAGTTGATCAATCTAGCTCGAGCATATGTCAAAGATCCACCACAACAAGGCAGATTGCGCTCGAAACCTAATTGTCCCCAATCTGAGATTTCACATTTACCGCGAATTGGGGTATCATCAATCAATGCTTGGCTGGTATATTGCTGTGAAAGGATAGATGTAGTAACCACAGATACGACACTGTTGGAATATATGGAGCATCTGAAGAAAAAAAAATGAGGCGGAGGGCTAATTGCCTCTAGATATCCTGCTTTTACATGTACATGAGGGCACAGCAAGCCACTGTAGTTACGACTTGTATGTAGTGTTTTAAGGAAAAGAGTATGGTAGATGTAGAGGAGGACCTAATGAATTACACTTCCTGCTTCTTAATAGCAATGGCGATGCTAGAATATATTCACACTGGTGCAATTTCCCGGTACCTGTTTCCTCTTTCGCGACGCAGTAGTTCTTCGCTTCGTAAGGGTAGGAGGGTTAGCATTGCAATGTCGCCTTATTATGTAGAATCCAAAGTAGAATAATATGCATTGTATGTGTGTGATCAAGATATGTGACTGTCCAATAGTAGTGGTTCTCACCACGCAACATAGTCACGTTGCTCTTCAGTGACATTTTTACCTAATTCGTGATGATTTTGTGTCCGACTTCTTATCCTGATATGTAGTACATAATTTACATCCAACTTTCCTTTCCCTAAAAGATCGCGGTACCATTGACATGAGAGCCGACTCCACCTATAGAATGGTTAGCAAGAAAAAATCAGTCAAAGCGATGCGCAACACAACATACCAGGACAGTTCGCGGGCGCGGAAGAAAAGAAAAAGAACCATCTCCCCTTCTCCCGACACGTCTGTGCCAGCTTTTCCAAGTCCAGCATCTCACCCAGTGGCATACCCCAAAGCGCAAGTATGTGCTCGTGGAGATAGTACTCTGCACCGCGTTAGCTCCCGATATACAAAAAGGCACCCCTCGGCCTAGCCAAGGACTGTGTAAATCTCAACCATACCTTCTTGCGTAGGCCACGCCTCAAAAGCCGGCGCATCCCCCGCAACAGTCGCAAAGTAGCAATCATGCAGCCAATCCAAAATTTTCTCTTCCTGGCTCAACCCCGCAAACCGGTGTCCATCCGCCCCTCCTTTCCTGGCATCATGGGGCACCGCAGCTTTAGCTCGTTCTTCATCGCTCTTGCCGTCATATGCTTCTTTCCAGCCACTTCGAACGAAGAGCATGTCTCCGGGCTTGATGTCGCCGCCTTGAGCTGCGGGTCGGATGTCGATGCCCTGATCTTTGCCGCAGTGGTAGAGTTCCTCGAAGGAGATGGGATGGTAGTCGTAGGGGTCGTAGGCGATTCCTTTTTTGTGGGCGTAGCTTCTGTAGTCGAGGAGGACGCCGCGGCCGGCAATGCCGTGGTTAGCCCAGTGGTGAATCGAGCATTTGTGGTTGGCGTGCGGACCAGCGATGTCGCTGCCTTTTGTCTGAGGCGATCGTTAGTCAGGATTGATGTGAGAAGGGAGTAAGAGAACGGACGCCGTTATAAAAGTTTCCGCTTGCTATGTGGGCGAAATGACGAAAGCCATCCCATTGTGTGCCACTCTGAGTGTTCAGGTTGTACACATCATCATAGACAATTCCTTCGAGTACAGTCTTGACTTCGTGCTTGAAGGGTTCACGGCCGAATGCTGGTACATTGGGCACGTTAAGAGGTAGACTGTTTTCATCAGTGTGGATTCAGTAGGGTATGCTGGGTGGTGTTTACTTCACGGGTACTATCTCTCCAGACTTGATCTCTTTAGCCGCTGCAGCTACGCGGGTCGGTGTAAGAAGGTTCAGGCGCCCAATCTGTTGCGGGTTAGTGTGGTATCATTGTATTAACGGTGGAAGCTACTATACGTAGTCGTTGTCGCCCCAGACCCAAGCGGCTCCTTTGGGGGCGCCAGGAATCTCTGGAAGTTCCTTTCGCGTGGGAAATTTGGTGCTATCTGGATCCCACGGGATGTTCGTGGCGGTTTTTTCCATAGTTAATAAATCTTTGATCTGTGTCAGGCGTTGGTTCGCGGTGTTCTTGGGATCCATCGTGTTTGCTGACGCACCAACAGTCTTTTGTTGTTCAATATCCCAATTGCTCAAGTCTGTAGCAACAAAGACCCTTTTCACGATATACAGAAATACCGTACGTCCGGACGTTTACCCCGCATTATTTCTGCGCTGGGTGGGTTTGCGCCGAGGCTTCTGTGCCGTCCGTATCCATCGGCTATTGTGAACCCACTCTTCTCGTCAAGAGAAAGTCATCGAAAAACATCCCTTCCTACCCCGCCAGCTCAAGATGTACATCCTTTGGCTTCAACATACTATCCCTGCCGATGATGAGCACAGGTTTGGGATTGGGAGATGACTTTGTCATCGCAGCGGAGGATTAGAGATTGGTGGCGTAAGCGGCACGGCCGGTTAATTACTCCAGCCACGTGTGTCCATCTGGTCCCGTGTGCACCCTTGGCAAAAAGCTTATTGCAGTCAAGAGAGTCTTGTATGTGTATGAGAGTCTTGTTTTTGACATCAACAAGTCGAACGTTGGTTTAAGTTAAGAACCTAAGAACGCGAACTATGGGTACTACAGTATCAATAGACAGTTAGTAATCCTCCCAGCGGGTAAACAGTAATCACGCCTTCGCTACCAATGTTAGTGCGACCGGCAGGTAGCACGAGTCATCTCACTTGTCAGAATGTACCTGCTCATAAGCCACCGTTACAAACTCTTTGTTCACCCGCCGTTCGCTACTTCATGGCCTTCTATCGTCCTGGCCCCTTGCACCATGCGTCCATCGCACGTAGTACTGAGACTATCATTTCGGTCGCGTCAACGAGCAAGCTCATTCTCGTTTCTTAGAGATCCGGCCTCATCCGTGGATTCCCCCACGGATTGTGAATACATCCAGTCCATATTGATTTAGCCGGTCGATGGTATCTGATAGCGCCATCATTAGCCATAATACTAGCGCCGTATTCCTACCCCTAGCGAGTCCGACAAACTTACCAGTCCTTGATCCTAGCCAACTGGTTTGTTGGAGGGAAAACTCCCGTCCGTCTCGCCGTTCTTCCGTGTCAGCAAGGTCTGTGCTGCTAAGTCGATAGACATAAATCGACTACCCCACACCGATAACCCCAGATTTAACCCATCTCCACCTTACCCTACTTCTTCAGTTCTTTCTAGCAATCGTTCTAGCGCCATGGCTTCCGCTATTGAGAAGTCAGAGGCCGCCGATCATACCTCCAAAGTTTCCATGGACGGTATCGTTGCTTACGAGGAGGGCAAGACCCAAGCATTTGGGGAAACTGTTATCTGCACCGAAGAAGATAACAAGCGCATCCTGCGGAAGACAGACATCTGGATGCTGTCTCTCCTTTGCATGGTTTACTTCCTCCAGTCCGCCGACAAAGGAATCATTGGTTTGACAGCTGTTTATGGACTGAAGACCGACGCACATCTCAAGGGAAACGATTACTCCAACATTGGAAACATCGGTTACTACGCACAACTCGGTGTGCAACCTTTGGCAGCATGGGCCCTCGTCAAGCTTCGATACCGACATGTCTTGCCAGTCATCATTGTATGCTGGGGCATCTCAGTCGCTGGTGGTCTTGGAGCATCAAAGAACTACGGTGGGCTCATGGCATCTCGATTCTTCCTCGGCGCATTCGAAGCGGCAGTCGTTCCTCTCTTCTCGATGATCACAATTGCCTTTTACAGGCGCTCTGAGCAGCCTTTCCGGGTTGCATGTTGGTATAGCTGTTATGGGCTTAGCACGCTGATCAGTGCTCCTATTGTCTATGGGTTTGGTCGTATCCATTCTCATCATCTATATCGCTATCAGATTGTATATCTCTTCTTTGGGCTATTGACTATTTGTATTGGCTTGATCACTTACTGGTGGGCTCACGACAGCCCTGGGGAAGCCCGTTTCCTCTCGCCCGAAGATCGCCTGAAGGCTATTGAACGACTCAAGGCAAACCAACAGGGTATCATCTCGCATAAGTTCAACTGGTCCCACGTCTTTGAGGCTTGGACAGAGCCCAAGTACTGGCTGTACATGATCATGGTAATTTCCGTCAACGCTGGTGCTGCCGTCTCGTCCGTCTTTGGTGCCATTATTCTCCAAAACCTGGCTGGTTTCACGCCCGACGAAGCTGTCCTGCTCAACATGCCGTTCGGCGCACTTCAGTTTATCTCTATTCTTCTTGCGTCATGGCTGGCATACCGTTTCAAGCGCAAATCTCCATTCCTGCTTGGACTGGTTACTATCGTCATCGTCGGTGTCTCTCTACTTGTTGCTCTTCCAAAAGAGAAAAAAAACAAAGGAGGACTCCTCACTGGCTACTATCTGATTGCATTTGTTTATGCCATCAACCCTTTGCTTATCTCCTGGATGGGAGCAAACTGTGCTGGACAAACCAAGAAGGCCGTCTATTATACGTCTTTCAACGCTGGAAACGCCATTGGTAACATCATTACCCCATACATTTTTGATAAAAAGTTCGCTCCACAATACGTAAGTCAGCCATATGTCATACATACGAGTAGCATTTTATTGACAATCATCTAGCACAATGCTCTCAAAGGTATTCTCGCGATCTGGTGCATCCTCTGGGGCGTCGTGATTCTGCAGATTTTTGTCATCACGTGGATGCAGAAGAAGAAGTGTGACGAGCGCGAGGCAGCTGGTCTTCCGAGGAACCCTGTCGATTATTCTATGAGCGGACACCAACAGGCAACTGATGCTGACGTGCACGGCGAGAACGGTCTCCAGGACATGACGGACAGGGAGAACATCTACTTTCAGTACTTGCTGTAATCAGAGCCGCAGGCTCATGTGTATATTCTATTATTCTTGAAGGAAAATCTACTTTCTCACAATTGCATGACTAGAGTTTTAGTGCTGATGGAAAGACGGATGCCACGCTGGAATATGTGGGGACAGCAGCTTATGCTTATGTCAGCTTTGTAGCCAGAAAACAGCGAATACAGCTGTTCACATGCGAAGCTAATCAGCTTCTATCAACATCATCCCCAATACTGCAGTTATCTAACCTCCCTAGATGTAGCCCTGTTCGACTTCATCATCACTCTCTTTTCTCACAGAGATTCTCATTCTTCAAACTCGCTCCTCGAATGACCATACCTTCACCGCAATTTCTTTTCTACTTTCTTGTACCTTGCATCGCCATCTTTTTGTACAACTTTGTCTATACCCCCATACAGCTTCCTATACATGCAATGCCAGCACAACCATCAGCACAGGAAGTAGCAGCTACCCTTCTCGCTGAAAAAGGGTTAGAAGTCGAGTCTCTCGAACGTATTCAGTCACTATGGGCCGGATATGGTGAGATATGCCGAGTCAATACTGTTCCGGATGCTGCATCAACCACCTCTTCCACGGAACATCAATCTTTTGTTCTCAAACTTGTTACGCCTCCTCCGACAAAGGCAGACGATGAGGGACATACGAGGAAGATTTTGAGTTACAGAGTAGAGCAGTACTTCTACACCCACCTCGCGCCTCAGATGCCAGATTCACTTCCTGTTGCCAAATGCGTAGCAAGTATCAACAAGCAGAACGAGGACAGTACCTCGATAACAGCCATGCTACTGAGTGATCTCAAACAGCAGTATCCCATTGCAGGCGAGAAACGCGCAGTGCTCTCGCACACCCAAGTATTTGCTGCATTGGACTGGCTCTCCGGCTTCCACGGCTTCTGGTGGTCGCGCATGAAAAACCTGACGCCCTCATCGCTTGTACTGCCTCCACTCGAGGAATTGCAGCGCAACGACCAAGACACCGAGGAAAGGAGCGTCTGGCTCAACGGCGGCTACACATACCTCGCAACGCGACGAAAAGAATACACCTCTCTAGCCATGGACCACCACTCCGAATGGGGCATCCCGCTCACCCGCCGCACAAACGACGAAGACCTCTCTATCGCCGAAATGGCAGCCCTCTTCCTCGCGCCCCAAACATCAGAAAACCCATCAATAGCCAAATACCAGACCCTCATCCACGGCGACGTAAAATCTGAAAACCTCTTCACTAGCACATCGGGAAACCAAGTTGCATTCTACGACTTCCAATACATAGGCCTCGGTCTCGGCGTCTGCGATCTCGCAAAATACTTTACTTGCTCCGTCCCCCTCGCCATGCTTGTCGGGGACGAGCAGCACGTGCCGCAGGAGCTGGCGATGCAGGAAGGCGAAGAGCAGCTTTTGCATCGGTACTGGGAGAGGCTGTGCGAGACCGGTGGTCGAGAATACGACTGGGCTGTTTTTGTGAGGCATTGGGAGATAGCGCTAGTGGATTGGTTGCGGTTTCAGGCGAGTTGGGGGTTCTGGGGTAATACGGAGTGGTTGGAGGCGAGGGTTAGGAGTGTGTTGGGCGATGAAGAGTGGCGGAGGTTTTTGGTCGATAGTGTGGCTAAAATTAGCACGTAGTAATTGAATTGATATATCTGAAGTCCGTGTGTGCGTGGTATTCTATGATATGCGATTACAGACCTGTACCGCGCTACAGATTAGCAAACAATATCTATAATTTTATATTTTACAATTTTCAGAACTTGCAAAAATTCAGCACGATCGCCGGTATGGCCAAGTGGTAAGGCGTCGCACTTGTACCTCAGCAAACCGGGTAATGCGAAGATCGCTGGTTCAATTCCGGCTGCTGGCAATGAATTTATATATTTCTTTTTGCTTTTTTTGTTCTGCGGTGGAGTGGAGCAGAGTGTGGTGTGCGGGGAGCTTTTTAGGTCGGCACGGGGATGTGCGCGCTGCACACGTCTGCAAGGTACAACCAACATATTCTTTTACTAATACTGATCTGGAGAAACGTCGCATTCATTCCATCCTAAGCTGGTATAAGCTCTTTTCTTATTTGCACGTTATCTTTGTTAGTTCCAGATAATGTCATTACATGTAATTCTATTTCAAAATAATCTCTTAACTAGCTATGTTTTGCGTAGAATGCCCGGACTGCAGTTTTAAAAAAACAGCTTTGATCAGACCGAACCTGTAACTCCCGTTATCAAATTCATGGCTTTCAAAGTCGTCCGAACCTGATCTGCATCTCATTCCGATGCATCATCCCAGCTAGACGGGCACGAGAAAGCATAGTGCCAATCACCCATGTGCCCACGTCCATCTCTTTTTCTCCATACCCAAACTCCACATCACGCCCCATTCCCCAAAAGCGCCACAGCCCAAACATCCAAATCGCCATAATGAACCAACATCCTCAAACCCCGATAGTAAAACTCAGCAGTCCCCGCTCAACCCACCCCTTCACAACCTGCACCCCCCAAACCCCTCCCCCAACACCCACATTCACCCAAAACAACCCCATCAACACCGCATCCGCGGCCGCCCCACTCTGATACCTTACCCCATGCAAGCCTAGCACCTTGGCCGCTAAATCATCCGCTACCAGCGTCGCCATGAAGACCGTAGCGCCGACGACGCTCGCGTGGAAGAGCATGTGGAATTGCTGGTCAGCGGCGCTTGTGAAGAGTGTGGTGTAGAAGGTCGAGAGGGAGAGGAGGAAGATGAGGAGAGTGAAGAGTGTTATGAGGGCGAGGGCGTAAGTGAGGTTGTGGATTGTAAGGGACATTCGGGATAGTGGGGTGCGTGGTGTGAGGGTGGTGTGGCGGCGATGGTGGTGGTGGTGGTGGTGGTGGAAGCGTGGGAGGAAGGCATAGCTTTGTGGGAGGAGGAGATGGGGCGTTTTTTGTTGTATGTGGATTTTTTTGGCGGTTTTGGTTTGGGTGGGCTTTTTTGATCCAAAGTTGGGGGGAGGGCGAAATCCGGTGGGTGTGGTGGATAGGTCGTGGTATCCTAGGTTGAATGGTCGCGTGTACCGTGCGGGTGAGGTGAAACGGTGTGCGCAGTCTCGATGAGGGAGTGTGGGTTTGCGTGTGTGTAAAGGGTAGGTTTTGGTAAGATTCAGAAGAAAATTGGGTGAGCATTTTGCGGGAATGAGTGAGATGGGATAGATATGTAATACAGTATATGTTACATAAACCCTCGATTCGGGGTACGTACGGGGTATGCTTGCATGCATTCAGTAGGACGGGCGGCATAGCTTACTACCAAGGCACTAGGGGGACGTTCACTGTCACATTGATGAGCGACGATCTCGTATAGTGGGATTTCAGCTATTTGATATAGAGTGGTAGAGTTGTATAGCTAATCACTTTGAATGTGCTCAAAAGCTCATATAGGCGATGGTGTAGTATTCCAGCGTTCAGGCTACCACTGACATTTATGGTGGGGATTGAAAGTGCTTGGAAGGCAAAAAGATACGTTGTAATCAGCGTCTCATCTGGACATAGCTCAGTGTAGAAGATTGCCGACTTGGTTGTCACTGGTAGAGGACCACTGTATTGAGGATGTGCCCAGAGATTGGTACCCGGTGCTTACGCGGCGATAACGCAATCGTTGCAATCATGGTCTGATTTGCGGCCAACAATGTTTTACGATGACCTTGGAAAGTTCGACATTGCAATACATCTACTACTACAACGATGTCAGGCTGTGTGTCGGTGGAACTTTCTCATGATTGGTGCAGAGTACTTAGAGTGCTTATGCGTGTGCTAGAGATTAAGTACTTACTGCATGTGTGCAAAAGGCAATGCGATTCGTTGCCGTTGACTTAATGCTCACGGTCTTTCGTAGCAATTTTAGGATAGCATTCGATATTGGTATTTTGTCCATGGCGCCAAAACTCTGTCCTGGGGCTAAAGTACTTTTTGGTTTTAACGGAAACGGGAGACTGGAATCTACACCAGTAATCTTGGTTGTATTTGTTCTGTTCTTTACGATTATCATATATCATGGCCTGCTTTGGGCTCTAGATTCCCGTTGGCACAGCATATGGCAATCTGTGTAACTCGTTATTCGAGAAAACAACATTGCATATCGTCAATCCAGGTTCATGTGGTCAAACCAGCTTTCCCTCAAAACTCTTCTGCATCGACCCATTAATGAGTAGAAGCTCTGGAATCCGCATCCTCTACCAATTCATTCGCCATCCTCTCCGCTTCTAGGCCGTCAAAATAATCCTTGAATGGATCCTCGCCAAACTCGTCGTCGTCTTCTTGCTTGGGCTTGGTGAGTGATGGTAAAGTATACTTTGTTCTGAGTGTTTCCGACATGTCAAACGGAGTTCCTGACGTCAGCTCCGGAGTCCATTTATCCATGCCCTCGTTTGCCAAAGCGTCGGCTGCGATGTTGCCTATATCAGTGCTGTGTCCCTTGACCCAGACGAATGTTGTCTTGCCCTTGCATGTCAGACGCTCTCGTATCCTCGCAAGTATTGGCTGGATGAGTTCCTTATTCTCCACGCTCTTGCCAGCTGCGTTTCTCCAGCCCTTGGTCTCCCAGTTCTGGAACCATTCACGCAGACAACGGATAGAGTAGTATGAATCTGTCCTAATCTCGACATCACGGTCGATTGGTACATGGTCGAGAGCTCGGGCTATGGCGACAAGCTCGGCTCGCTGGTTGGTTTGTCGTTCTCCCCTTAAAGGTTCTCCAACGTTCCTGCAGTCACGGTCAGATGTTGCATATTGCGTGGCACCACTATACACGAACCTGGGATCTCTGGGGCCAAAGTAGACACCCACGCCTGCTCTGGCGCCTACTTTGCCGTTTCCTCTGGAGCCTCCGTCTGTATGTACTACCAACGGGCCCTTAAAATTTCCCGTTGGGTGTTGTTTGGTTGCACTGAGTTCGTCCGCAGTCTTTGCTCTGATGTTGCCCGCAGCTTCATCCAACTTTATCGTTGGGTCGAAGCCATCTACTGCGCCAGGCGGAAGGGGCCCCATGCCCGGTTCGGTCTTGTGATCTCCGTTGGTCAAAGTTGTTGCAGGCGGCGCGTGCTCCCGTTTCTGTCGCTTGGGCGCATGTTCAGCACTCGGCTCCATCTTGCCCACTGCTACTGATGAGGCGGTAGATAAGTGACCCTGTAAGCTTATAGGCGCACTGGAACCTTTCCTAGCCCGATCGACAAAAGCCTGGGCTTCTTCGCGTGTAGCAAATCCTTGATGCTTTGCACCTTTAAATCCCTTTGTATGCGACTCTACAGTTGGCCAATCTGTGTAGACACCGGGCGCGCGTCCGACTGCTACTCCGTAAAACTTTGGCTTCGGGGGCTTGGGTCGCTTGACGAGGGTCCCTTTGACAAATGCTTCTGCGTCGGTATATGTGGAAAACGACTGCACTAGCTAAGCGTCAGTACAAGACTGGGACGTGAATTGACGCTACACACCCTCGTGGTTGTTGAAGCCTTCGGTCTGCTGGCGCACGTCCTCCCAGTTCTGGTAGACGCCTGGCACTCTCCCGGCTTTGACAGCGTAGAATTTGAGGGGGCCGCTTCTGCGCTTCGCACTCGAAGTCGCTGATGTGGCAGATGGGGTACCTGCCATTGATCCTTCCTCTGTGAGTATGGTATCGGGGTAATCTTCCCAAGTGGAATACAGGCGCTGGAGAGGGCAAGGCAATATCGGGGTCTTAACTGTGTGCACGGAGCTCGCGGGACTGTAGTGACAGGCTTTGGTATCCCTACGATTCCAACATTAGCTTGCGATTGCAGCAGCAAACGGCCATGTATATCGAAGCCGCGGCGTGGGCGAGAGAGGAGGGTTACCATGCGTTGGCGTGAGCAGAGAGAGCAGCGACGCGCCGGATAGGAGATAACCCGGCAAGACGGAGCATGCAGTATTATCTCAGTGTCGCAGTGAATTGCAGAGTGTGCTTTTGTGGGCACGAATAATAGCGACTGGCATGCCGGCACACTGCTGTGTCTGCCAGTTGCGGGAGTGACAAGCCTAGGACTGCGGGGACCCTGCAGCAGCAGCTTCACAGGTGGTGGGCACTCCTTCTCAAGCCGCTACCCAGTCTGCCGGATACAACACGCAAAAAGAAACACCTGCATTGCAAACCAGCTTCTCTGGCGCGAGTCATCAAAACCCGACAGAAATATTCGTTCTAATCAACCAACGACGTGGTAACGCGTCTCGTCGGGAAGCCTAACAGGACGCGCCGCGCAGCGTAACCTCGGTGAACAGGCCTAGAACCCCGCTACGTCACCCATCACCAACGGCTTGCCCTCTGCACTCACCGTGGACGAACACTGGGAGCGGCCATATCCATATCCACAATCCGTATTTCCCTGTGCTGTGTGTTCTGCATAACCGGCTATGTTCGAAGTGAGGACAAACAAGCCGACTGCCAAACCGCCGTGACTGACCGTAGACCAGAGCCGTCACGCAGAAGACAGATACCGACTGCATCTGCATCGCGCCCGCTCCGTTGTACTGACAAGCGATGAGCTGGTTGAGATTCGGGCGGCCCAGCGCACGTTTGAGGGCGCCTATGTGCGCACGGCAATCGGCCAGTTCTCTTTTGCGCTTGTCGTGCTCAAGATCTTCACCGCCGAGTTCTACTCGATTGGCGCGCTGTTCGCCGTCTATGGAGTCGGTATCCTCTTCACCAGTCTGTTCCGTCGCCAGCAAGGTGAGTGCTATGACGAAACTGTGCATGTGCCTATACACTTTGGGTGCTGATAGTCGACAGGAAACAGACAGTTCTTCTCCGAAGTCGGTGCCGACGGTCTATGCCACAAGAAGTTTCGCACGAGCGGAAACATTGTCGTCGCCTTAACAGCACTGAGCATTTCAGCGTATATATGTCTGCTGGTTCTCACCCTCAAGCTTGCCAAGTGAGGTCGGGCTGTTCTGTTACTAGAGTACCGTATTTCTGTCCTGCTCCGAACGAATGCATCATAGCAAGACGCTATGCCAAAAGGGACATCAATCTCGGGGGCTCCACAGGACTACGTCAGGAAATCTGGGGAAGCACTCATCGTGTATGTATGCATGCATATTGGATGCCAAGGGATTCACCATGTGTGCACCATCGGGACATTGTTGGGCGACACGCTTTGTGCCTAATGCTTGGATTGACATTGGACAGAGACTCATGCAGATCCGAATTCCAAAAGGAACCCACGTAGGCTGGTCGCCATCAGTTATAACCGAATTGCAAATGCTATTCTGTCGTCTTTTGTCTATCGGTATCGGGATTCGGAGCGTGGGGGTCTGGGTGTAAGCAGCACCAGCACCGACGTCAGGCGGGGTGCGTTGTGGCTTGGGAAGGGACGCGTGCACCGATTGCCTGCCTTTGTCCCAATCTCTGTTGTACGGGGGAAGAAGACAAAGAAAAGAAAGAAGAAGAGAGGAAGACATTCCAATAAGATCGTACGTCATGCAATAGCCAGCCTGTTCCTGCGCGTTCCCGCAAACTCGACCGTTGCTCCGTCCAGCAACGTGGTCTGGCGGGGAACCGTGGGTGGTGGTGAGCACCAGCCAGAAAGTCCGACTCCGAACAGTCATATTTAATTCAAACGCATGGATATATGTATCGGCCTCCGGTCCTGCTGATAAAGTCACCTGTCCCTGCCCGCTTTTTGTCTTTGCGCAACGCGCACGACAAGAAAGACCTGACCAGAGTGCCTGTGGTTGCACCAAAGCCTGTGTGCAACCACTACGTATATTTCCCCAACCTCAACCCACTCCCTTGTCCACTGCTGCAACTCATCCCCGGCCAGCGACTGGCCTTTGCGCAGCGGTGAGGCTACTCTCACTCTAGCTTGACAGAGCAGTGCACAATAGCAGCTTCGTCGCCTTGGCATGACGCCAGACATGGATGCTCTTCGGACGCCGATGGTCACCGAGCTTGCTCGTCACAGGCACCATTCCCATCCCCGCCGCACTTCCGCCTCTTCTTCACCACCTTTTTCTCCGCCACGCCGCCGCTTCAGCTCCCATTCCACCTTTGCCCGATCTGTAATGGGCAAACTCACTCTGCCCCTCGACAACGCACAGCAGCCAGACACAACCATTGACAACGATCTGACGCCCCGCCCCGTGTCGGCCGAACCCAAGTTTCCCGCAGTTGCGCCCGCAAAGAACGTACAGGCGCTCAAGGAGCGCGCAAACCAAGATGGCCACCTGAAGGCGGTTCCCAATCCCGTCCAGCAGCAACACCAAAATGGACACCTCTCTGGGAACAATGGCGTGGGTGTTGCCTTGAGCGACACCCCGTTGCCGTCGGTCCCGGGAAGTCCGCGAGAGTATGGAGAGGCTCCGGTGCAGACTACCTCATACTTCGCTGACCGTAACAGCACCCTTACACGCAACAGCTCCGCTGCGGGCACCCCCCGGTTACGCCCGACGACGCTCGACATCCCCGGCTTGACAAAATCCAAGGTCTCACCCGATGGCAAGATTGCACAGCGCGATGTCGGCTCCAAGCTAGTCATTGTCATGGTGGGACTGCCCGCGCGGGGTAAGTCTTACATCACAAAGAAAATGGCCCGTTACCTGAATTGGCTGCAACACGACACCAAGATTTTCAACGTGGGAGAGAAACGGCGAGTGGCGGCCAGTCACAGCGGTTTCCGCTTGTCCCAAGCGAACCTTGAGCGCATCTCATCCAATGTAAAGCGCGCCATTGAGGAGCACCAGGACACCTTGCCGCAGATTGCCGCAAAAATCCTTATCAACGGCGACCCCGCGCACGATGGGTCAATTGACCCACAGAATGTGCCGGACCCACGCCGGGGTAGCACCGCCATCGCGGACGACGACGACGATAATACGGCGCTTCCACCGCCCCGGGTCCAGGTCACATCTCCGGGCCCGAAAGCGCTTACGCCCAAAAATGAGCAGAATACCAACGAGAATGAGGCAATGGACCAGTCGGCCGACTTTTTCGACCCGCAAAACCAGCGTGCGGCTGCGCTGCGAGAGCAATGCGCCATGGAAACATTGGATGATCTGCTGGATTACATCCTAAAGGGTAGTGGATCAGTAGGCATATTCGATGCAACCAACAGCACTCTTGCACGCCGCAAACAAATTATGGAGCGGATCCGTGCGCGCGCGGGACCAGAGCTCAACGTTTTGTTCGTCGAGAGTGTATGTCGCGACCAGAATCTGCTCGAGTCAAATATGCGCTTGAAGCTGTCGGGACCAGACTACGCTGATAAGGACCCCGTTGCTGCTCTCGCAGACTTCAAGAAGCGTGTAGCCATCTACGAGAAGAACTACGTTCCGATTGGCGACTACGAGGAAGATAACAACATGCCGTATGTCAAGATGGTGGATGTCGGCCGGAAGATGATTTCACATCAGATTAGGGGTTTCCTTGCCGGCCAGGCTGTCTACTATCTCCTCAACTTCAACCTCGCGCCACGCATGATCTGGATAACCAGGCACGGCGAGTCGACGGATAATGTTGCTGGCAAGATTGGCGGTGACTCTGATCTTAGCCCGAATGGACAAAAGTACGCAAAGGCCATGACGCGCTTCATTGCTGTCCAGCGAAAGGAGTGGGCAGTTCGGCAAGCAAACAAAAAGGCCAATTCGCACTTTCCACCAGTCCCGGGTGACACCACTCCCCCGAATCCATATTACAGCCATGAACTCGAGACGCACAACTTTTGTGTCTGGACATCGATGCTGAAGCGTTCAATTCAGACTGGGCAGTACTTTTGCGATGAGGACTTCGAGGTCAAGCAGATGCGCATGTTGGATGAGCTCAACGCAGGCATCATGGAGGGTCTCACATACGAAGAGATTCGCACAAAGTATGCTGACGAATACTTCCGACGGCGACGCGACAAGCTCGCGTATCGTTATCCCGGTCCGGGTGGCGAAGGCTACCTCGATGTCATCAACCGCGTTCGCCCCGTCATTGTCGAACTAGAGCGCATGACGGACCACTGCTTGTTGATTACGCATCGCAGTGTCGCTCGTGTATTGCTAGCTTACTTCCAGGGCCTGAAGCGTGAAGATGTAGCCGACCTCGACTGTCCACTCGGTATGCTATACCAGCTTGAGCCGAAACCCTATGGTGTCGAGTTCAAGGCCTGGCGTTACAACCCCGAAACCGACGACTTTGACCATTTACCTGATTACAAGCTCAGGAGGGCGCCTACCCTGACTAATAACTGAGACTCGGAACTTTTTCCTGGATTCGGGAAGTCGCAGTTGTGGAATTGTCGAAATATGTATTATTATGATTAGTTGTCTCTTACGGGAGGATATATTAGAGATTAAGGCTACGACAGCTCGGCCTTGTTTCTTTTCTTCTTAATCCTTCAGTGTACTTGTGTAAATGGTTGATTTCCATCCTTTTTTCCCTTTTTTCTTTCTTTTCACGCAACCTAGAAAACGTCTAGGTACCTGTAACAGGCGATGACGATGTCCCAAGGCGGAATGTTTGTTGCATTTACAGGCGTCTTTTATAATTCTTTCCTGAGTTCATGGATTCTCCTTGTTTTTTCTTGCTGTCTTTCTTTCGTGTAGAAGGGAAATCAAGAATGGATCCCAGATACAGGGACTGAAGAAAAGAAAAATAC